GCAATATAGGAGGGCAAACATGGGAAGCAGTTAACTTGCCTGTACCCCTGCATGACCTGATCTCCTTCTCGATTCTGGCATCAGCAGACAGAATCTTGCTTAAACCACTTTCAGCATACATTCTATTTTAATGTGTCTGCTTGAAATTTGTCCCAAGAGAAAAAAAAAGCCATTTTCTTTTTTCCCCTCAGTATCTGTGATATGATTTTTCACTTGTTACATTTTCTCCTACTGGTATACCCGAAGGGGTACTGTTTTTCTGAAGGTTAAGTATCCTGAGGTCTCGTTTACGTCTGCAGACCTTTGCTGTCCATCATGCGTCATTTAATCACCCCGGGGAGGCAGAACATTGGATGGATTTTTCTTTTGCTGTCTTTGAAATATATATGATAACACTGGTCTCTTGGATGCCATTCCCTTTGCTCTTCTACTCAATTAAATCTTTAAATTTTTTAGTGTGTGCAGTCTTTGTATTCTTTCCCTCTCTGCTGGCGTTCTCCATCAGGTTTCCTGCAGCATCTATTCTGGATTAGTGTCATATGTTCTATGGATTACAAAAATAAGCTGTGTAGCTATAATTGTGAACAGAATCACGGTCATGGTGTTCACAGGGGGACAACACCCAAAGACTCACAATATGCCACCAGCTGACCCCCCGTTCACTCAACAATTAGTAAATTTCTGTTTATTGAGTGAAATATTGGAAAATTACACATTACCAGGAAACTTCCTTTCCTTAGGGCAGTTCATTTATTAGGCCCACTGAATGCCAGAACCCAGGCACACAAAGGGTAATGACACGATCCTTGTTTGAAGAAAGTGGACAGTCTGGGAAGAGAGAAGGATCAATAAAAATATGATATATTGTAAAGGCTTCATTCAATATAATTAGATCCTGGGATGAGTGGGAAAGAGTTGTCAGTTCTACTTTAGCGGGAGGTAGGAATCAGAGGAAAGCAAAAACGGCATGGTAGGTCTCGAAGCTGAATTCTGAAACTAGATCAGTTGTCTTACGGTACAACAAAGGTTAAAGAGTTTCTGTGGAAGCAAAGACACAAAAGCGATAAAGTGGCAAGTCAGGCTGTAGCAGTTCAAATAAACTGGAGCGGAGTATATGGAGGAATGCTAAACGAATGAAGCAGAGGCAGCCTCATGGAGGTCCCCATGCTTGCATACTGAGCAGGTATGCGGTACACTGAAGGTGAGGTGGGAGGCAGAGCAGGCAGCAGAGGGATAGAGGGTTTTCAGCAGGGCACTGAGGTCATCCGGAGGGAGCGCTAATGTGAGCCCCGGACAGTGGAGTTGTTCTCAACTGCAGTGACATGACACAGGGCGACATCCTTGAAACTCATTTAAAAAATTTATTTGCATATCTTGCTGTGTTTAATTTTCTGACTTAAAAAATTTTTAACTTCATGTTAATAGACGAGTTTGGTTAATTATTTTTTAATTTTCTTTATTGATGTTCAATTACAGTTGTCCCCATTTCCTCCCCCCATTACTCTCCCGTGCTCTACACACCTGCAACCTTCCACTTTCAATCCTCCCGTTGTCCGTCTTCGTGGATTTTTTACACATGTTCCTTGACTTGACTCTTCCCCTTCTTTCCCCGTTATCCCCCATCCCCCTCCTCTCTGGTCACTGTCAGTTTGTTCTTTATTTCCATGTCTCTGATTCTATTTGGCTCGCTTGTTTGTTTTGTTGATTAGGTTCCTGTTAAAGATGAGATCATACGGTATTTGTCTTTCACCACCTGGCTTATTTCACTTAGCATCATACCCTCCAGTTCTATCCATGCTGTCACAAAGGGTAGGAATTCTTGCGTTCTTTCTGTTGCATAGTATTCCATTGTGTAAGTGTACCAGAGTTTTTTTTTTATCTACTCATTTACTGATGGGCACTTAGGCTGTCTCCAACACTTGGCTATTGTAAATAATGCTTCTATGAATGCTGGAGTGTAGCATAGGTTCTTTTGGATTGGTGTTTCAGGATTCTTAGGGTATAATCCCAGCAGTGGAATTTCTGGGTCAAAAAGCAGATCCATTTTTAGTTTTCTGAGGAAATTCCATACTTTTCTCCACAGTGGCTGCACCAGTCTGCATTCCCACCAACAGTGCACTAGGGTTCCCTTTTCTCTACAATCTCTCCAACAGTTAGTGTTTGTTTATTTGTTAATGATGGCCATTCTGAATGGTGTGAAGTGGTATCTCATTGTGTTTTCAGTTTGCATCTAATTGCACTTAATTGATGGCTAGTGATGCCGAGCATCCTTTCATATGTCTCTGAGCCCTCTGAATGTCCTCCTTGGAGAATTTTTGTTCAGGTCCCTTGCCCATTTTTTAATTGTATTGTTTGTCTTCTTGGAGTGGAGTCCTATGAGTTCTTTATATTTTTGGAGATCAAACCCTTGTCTGAGGTATTATTGGCAGATATACTTTCCCATACAATTGGTTCCCTTTTCATTTTGCTGATGTTTTCTTTAGCCATGCAGATACTTTTTAATTTGATGTAGTCCTATTTGTTTATTCTTTCCTTCATGTCCCTTGCTCAAGGGGACGTAGCAGTGAAAATATTGCTACATAGAATATCTGAAATCCTCCTGCTTATGTTCTCCTCTAGGACTTTTATGGTGTCATAACTTATATTTAAGTCTTTTATCCACCTCGAATTTATTTTTGTGTATGGTATAAGTTGGTGGTCAAGTTTCATTTTTTTTTCCATGTAGCTGTCCAGATCTCCCAACACAATTTGTTAAAGAAGCTATTTTTACTCTATTTTATGTTTCTTCCCCCTTTGTCAAATATTAATTGACCATAGAGACTTGAGTTTATTTCTGGGTTCTCTCTTCTGTTCCATTTATCAATGTGTCTGTTCTTATGCCAGCACCATACTGTTTTGATTACTGTGGCCTTGTAATATAGTTTGATATCAGGTATTGTAATCCCTCCTACTTTGTTCTTCTTTCTCAAAATTGCTGAAGCTATTCAGAGTCATTTATGGTTCCACATAAATTTTTGAAGTGTTTGTTCTATATCTGTGAAATATGCCATTGGTATTTTAATAGGGATTGCATTGAATCTATAAATTGCTTTGGGTAGTATGGACATTTTGATGATGTTAATTCTTCCAGTCCATGAACATGCTATATACTTCCATTTATTTGTGTCTTCCTTAATTTCTTTCCTTAGTGTTGTGTAGTTTTCTGAGTACAGGTCTTTTACCTCCTTGGTTAGGTTTATTCCTTGGAACTTTATTTTTCTTGTTGCTATAGCAAATGGATTTTTTTTCTAATTTCTGTTTCTGATATTTTATTGTTGGTGTACTTATCTTCTTTCCTTGTACTATTTTTAAATTTTAGTACTTGAGGCATTATTTGTTTTGTTTAATCTTGGGGAAAAATTGGAAACCCAAGATTGAAACCTATTATCTTATATAGTTTGCTAGGGCTGCTGTAGTGAAGTACCACAGACTCAGTAGCTTGAGCGATGAACATTTATTTTCTCACAGTTCTGGAGCCTGGAATTCTGAGATGAAGGTCTCTTCAAGGATAGTTTCTTCTGAGTCCTATTTCCTTGGCTTGGAGGTGGCTTTCTTCTTCCTATGGCTTCACATATTGTTGGGTTTTCCTGGGAAACACAACCAACAGGAAAAATCTCTATCTTTATCTCTATCTCTGTTTATTTATCACTTATGCATGCATGTATATGTGGCATTTGTACATATGTATGATGTATGTATGTATGTATCTATCTATGGAGAGAGAGAAAGAAAGGAAGGTGGGAGAGAGAGAGAAAGTGAAAGAGAGAGTACAAAAGAGTTATTTTATGGAATTAGCTCACACAGGGTAGTGACTTTGAAAATCCAAAAGCTAAAGGGTAGATGGGAAGACTGAAGATCCATAGAAAAGTTTTAGCTCAAGTCCAAAAGCAGTAAACTGGCAGAATTCCTTCTTTCACAGAGGAGGTCAGTGTTTGTTCTATTAAGGCCGGTAGCTGATGGGATGAGGCCTACCCACGTTATAAGGGTAGTTTGCCTTACTCAAAATCCACCCATTTCAATGTCAATCTTATCTGGAAGACATTTCACAAAAACACCCAGAATATGTTTGGCCAGATATCTGGGCACCATGGCCCAGCCAAGTTGGTAAACAAAATTAACCATTGCACATGCTCTTCCCTCTGTGTCCGAATATTGCCGTCTTGGAAGGGCACTGGTCATATTGGCTTAAGGACCACTGCAATGACCTCTTTTAACTTAAGAGTCTATCTCTAAATATAGCCACGCTGAAGTTTTGGGGGTTAGAACCTCAACATATGAACTTTGAGAGAACATAATTCAGCAAATAATAGCCATTAATTTAAAAGTAAACATAAATAGAAAGATTATTCAAAGGGAAAAATAGTCCTTCTAATACTGAAATGTGTTAATTCCTCTGACTTTAGAGTAATCCTCAGATAAACCAATGAACTAAAATGCAAAGTAACTTTTTTATATATTTACATTTCTACAACTTAGAAACTTTTATGTTTTTCTTTGCCAATAATATTTAATGTTACCATTGTAATTAGATTAGATTTTTTAAAAATTTCTTATTCTGGTTATATCTAGATTTCTACATGTTTTCATTTTGTGTTTTTAAATTTCAAATTAGAGGGCAATGTGTAAGATGTTTTCATATTGAGTTATGAACTAATTTGAAATTGCTATTGAAACAAAACCACTTTTCACTTTTTATGGCAATTTAAAAATAAACAATGGGAATATTGTCAATACAAATAATGGGGGAAAAGGCAAAAGAATATAAAATGAGGACTAATCAGAATACACATCTCTGATGGTTCACTCACATCATAAATGTAATCTTACAACATTATTTCTTAGAGTTTATATCATATGTCAGTATATTATGTCTCATAGTTTTCAAATCCTTTTAACTAAACGGTAAAATGCTTTTCTATCTCTGTTACTGAAGAAATGCTTCTTTATCTCTTTTTTTGCAGATAACAAAGAGATTTTCCTTTCCAAAGCAATTCACAAGTCCTTCATCGAGGTTAATGAAGAAGGCTCCGAGGCTGCTGCCACCTCAGGTGCCAAGTTGCTTTCTAAAACCTTCTCACCATTTCTACATCTGTAATTTTGAAGCAATCTTGGGTGAGGGGCGGGGGCCATTTTTAGAATCAAGCCAATAATCTGACTGCTGTGGCTCTGCTGTAATTTAGAAGACTAGCTGATGCTGAACCAGCTAGGATTTCTAAATAGGCTGTGAATGAAACATGCATTCACTCCAGTGCCCCATGCCGCTAACTCCCATCTCCTGTTTGCTCACTAATGAGAGGCAGGAGGACATTGTGAGCCCTGTAGAATAGATTTTCCTGCTGTGCTGCCTGCTTCAATATTTCAAATATCTCCATGCTGTGCATTTGAACATTTTTCTGGCTACTTAATTCCTTATAGAAGTTAGTTTATAATTTTGTTAGTGAAAAGTTTTGATTTGATTTGATTTTTTTATTATAAAGACTTTGTCATTTATTTATATCTTGTTTAATTTAAATTATTTTATTATTGTTCAGTTACAGTTGTCCATATATTCTCCCCACCCCATTCCCCACTCACTCCAAACTCACCTCCCTCCCTTACTTCCACCCTCCCCCCTGGTTTTGTCCATGTGTCCTTTATAGTAGTTCCTGAAAACCCTTCTTCCCACTTGTCCCCTGCCCCCTAGCCTCTGGCTATTGTTAGATTGTTCTTAATTTCAATGACTCTGGTTATATTTTGTTTGATTTTTTCTTTTGTTGATTATGTTCCAGTTAAAAGTGAGATCATATGGTATTTGTCCCTCACCACCTAGCTTATTTCATTTAGCATAATCTTCTCCAGGTCCATCCATGCTGTCACAAAGGGTATAAGCTCCTTCTTTCTCTCTGCTGCATTGAATTCCATTGTGCAAATGTACCGTAGTTTTTTGATCCACTCATATGCTGATGGGCACTTAGGTTATTTCCAGCCCTTGGCTACTGTAAATTGTGCTGCTGTGATAAGTTTTGATTTTAAAAGCATGTATATAAACAAGAGTATGTGATAGCATGTAATAATTTTAACTAAATAATAATACCAATACAATCATAATTTTAAATAAATAGTTCAAGAAATTTGATATAAACCATGTGTCCAAAACAAAATGGAAAATGTCCTTAATTATTTTGATCATTCTGAGTTCCCTAATTAATTGAGAATGATTTTTCCATTGATATTTTTCCTCCTGTTATTTGATTGGATTTGTTTCAGTTTTATCATCAAATTTTAGTCAAATTTCCACCATCACCACCCTCATAAAATGTAACACCTTATATTTGCATGCATTGCTTTTATATTTGCATAAACTTGTCCATTAAAAGGATAGCACCAGTTAACAGTATTTTCAGGAGGGAATAGAAACAGTAGTCTCAGGCATCAAGAAAGCTGAATACTTACATAATTTAATAGTGACTTTTTTGTGATGATTGAATCACCCCACAGCAAGTACAGAACAATCATTTATAATAAAGACCTCAGGGGAATTCAGTTTCCCAGCTGTAGGAACACATGGAGTCTCTCACCGCTGTCCCTTCCCTTTAATCACTGCCGTTCCGGACACTTGCTAGAAGCCTGGAAATTTCTGTGTAAAAATACCCATTTCAAACACAAGAAATAATGATTTGAGAATATAAAACAACTATTCCTTTTTAGAGGGTTTTTTTCCTTCTTTTAATTCAAAGATCATTTTAGCAAGATACAAGTATTATCTGAGACTGAGACTAAAATTTTTGTAAAAGGCAGAATAAATCATCCTGTTATTGGGGGAGGGGTGTTGTGGAGAGAGGAAACTGTGTGGTATGGGGTGTGTGAGTGTTTCAAGTTCAGTAGAAATATTAGCACCTTTATAATATTTCTAATTTAAAGGTTTTTAAAAATCGTGTTTCTTATGAAGCATTGCCTTTGTGTTAAATATAGATGGTTTAGAGAAATTATTCATTCATCCCTGCACATCCACAGACATGTAATTACCTCCTCTCTGCACTGTAGGAATGATCGCAATTAGTAGGATGGCCGTGCTGTATCCTCAAGTCATTGTGGACCACCCATTTTTCTTTCTTATCAGGAACAGGAGAACAGGTGAGTATGTTAATGAGAACAGAACTTTTTTAACAGGTTAAAAGGAAATAATTTAAAATTGAGAACACTTTTCCATGTTGTTCATTGGATTTCTAATATTCAAATGATTTTTTTAAAAGTGAAAAGAATACATATATTTTTATTTTTAGAATATTGCTAGTTGTAAATAAGAAGAGAAACAAATAACCCTTTTTAAATTTAAATACCTTTCTTGTTGTTTATCCCCTCTTTTGTTCACTTCCAACCCAATGCAGGTACAATCCTATTCATGGGACGAGTCATGCACCCTGAAACAATGAACACAAATGGACATGATTTTGAGGAACTTTAAGTCATTTCACTTGAATAACAAGAAAAAATAGTAACTAAGCACATTATGTTTGCAACTGGTATATATTTAAGATTCGTGTTTTACAGTATATCTTAAGATAATATTTAAACTAACTCCATATAAAAACAGTATGTAAATTATAAGCCAACTTGTCAAGGAATGTTATCAGTGTTAATGAGGTAATGGTCTTGTCGTGTCATGTGTGTTGTGTCAGTAATTAAAATAAAAGTACATAGTGAACATGTGGACAGCTCTGCTTTTCATTGTAGAAGTTATAATGTAAAGATTCCTCTAGGTGAAATCTGGGAGCAGTGAGGTTTCTGGACATCTTAAATCTTTTTTAATCATGCAGACTCAAGGCACCAAGGTAAATTACCATTGTACATTTGTACTTAACAAGCAGCAACAAGTGAAATGAAGACAAGCACTCCGCAAAAATTTGGATTGTTTTTTCCTCCAAAGATGGTGTACAGTGTAATATAAAAGTATCCCAACTGACCATCTTCTGCATGGCTCCATGACAAAATGTGTTAGAAAAAAAAATAGGGCTGTGCAAACCCATAGCTTATAGCTCTGGTTTATTTACCATGTCTTTCAAAATAATCTGCTTGGCATCAGAAGGCTTATGTAGCTAACCAGCCTGGTATATCGCCATGTTTTGATGCTGCAAATAAAATCCAAGCTACAACCAAGTTCTCAAAAGTCCCAAAGTGAACCATGCAAACAAATTAGTAACAAAAATATGCTCTATGATATGTCTGTGACCAGAGAATTAACTAGAAAAAACATGCTAGTATAGATACCAGAAATCAGCATGGCATGGGCTGAATTCTACCCACAGAAGTGTTTTTGTTTGTTCTGTGTAGGTTTTTACAGTTTGAATTTGAATGTCTGTAATTGAGGTACCACAATTTTGTTTCTCCCATCATCTGATGGCTCCTGGTGCATTTGTTTGAGACCTCCGGAGAGTTACAAGTACTTTGCAGAACATACTGATCTTATTCTCTAGAACAAGAAGTAGTTCATTCCAACAGGGGGCAGGTCTCTAGTGAATTACTTTGTTATCCATTGGCTGAAATAATGGTATTCTTCTGGAAAGTGGGGAGAAAAAAGAAAGGATGGTCTGATCATGTTCTATGAATGGAACTAGAAGCACTTAATGCCAAACATTAACTTTAATTCTGTTCAGGAGACTTGCTTGGGGGAAACAAGTCTGGCCCTAGACCTACTGAATTTTAAACTCTGAGGGAAAACTTGAAAGTCTGTGTTTTTAAACAAGTTCCCTTGGTGATTTGGTTACATGCTAAATCTTTAATATTGCCAAATAAACAATACATGTGGAATACTTATATACTAGTTGTTTAAAATTAATTTGTAGAAAATTAGATCAATCAGTGAAGTGTCCTAAGTTAGTGGCTCTCAAACTTTCTGTGTGTTAGAATTACTACCCAGGGATTGTAAAAGAGATTATCACATAGTAGGTCTGGAGTGGTACCTGAGAACCTGCATTTCCAAAAAGCTTCAGGGTGATGCCATTGCTTTTGGTCCATGGACTCAGGTTGGTAACAAAACTACATTTAACATAAGGTTTCCCATGTTTGATATTTTTATGCAGAGAAACTGAAAAACAGCTGTAACTGTCATCCAACTTGGAGAGATTTGGGGGATGGAGCACTAGTCTACATTAAAAATGCAATGCATTTACACAAAATGAGAAAAAAGGTTTTCTCTAAAGCTTTTTCCCTATTACATACTATGGAAAAATGTAGACTTCCTCTGCATACTAGAACACTTGAAATATATTCTTTGAAAATATAGAAACATTTATAGGCAAAAGCCCACAAAAGAATTTATGAGTACCTTAGGACACATTACTTAACACTGAATCTTTTAGAGCTTATATTCTCAGAAAACTTCTAGTTTATTCATAAAGCTGAGGTTGTTATAGAACAATGCTCTCACTTGCATTTACAATGTACACAGACTAGGCTAACTGATGTTGATTCAGGGTTGTTACTCTAAGTTTCTGATATTCCTCGTTACTGATGGCTACTTGTTAAGCTTTACATGTTTGCTATATTTGTATGTCTATTAGTCAAAACTAAATGAGTTACCTATAAGGAAGAGTCAACATCATCAGATAAGCATGAAGCCCAAAATACAATTTTTTTAACTAATGTAAGATTAAACTCTACCATTCAGAATGTTTACCCTAAATTATTTCAATACAATTCAGATGCCCCTTAAATAAAACCTTATTATTAACATGTTAATGGAGTGCTTAAAATTAGGATACCTGATAGTACCAAGTTTTTCCTATTGTTTGACTTTTATAATTTCTTCAATATTTTCTTTTCTATTGAAAAAGTGACCTCGTATGGTTCAGTTTTGTTTCTTTCAAAATGCATACATTACTACACACACAGTGTGCACAGCTCAACAGAAACTTCTTTCTTTTTGAACATATTTTTGGGGAAAGAAATCAACAACAGTTATGCATGGTTTGTTTTTAACTCTTCCAGCTTTGTTGAGGTATAATCAACAAATAAAAATATTTAAAGTGTACAATGTGATGATTTGATATATATACCCATTATAAAATGATTACCATGATCAAATTAACACTAGTTAAATTTTTGTGTTGTGTGGTAGGAATGCATGAGATTTACTCTTTTAGCAAACAGTAAGCATATAATACAGTATTCATAACTATAGTCACCACGCTGTACATTATACCCCCAGAGCTTACTCATCCTGTGACCGGAAGTATGTGCTGTAGGCTTTGACCAGTGTTACTCAGTGTTCCCTGAACTCCAGGCCCTGGCTGTCACCTTTCTTCTCTGTTTCTATGACTTCTACTCTTTTGTTTTGTTTTGTTTAGTTTTTTAGATTCCGCATTATGAGTGAGATCATGCAGTGTTTGTCTTTCTCCATCTGGCTTATTTCACTTAGCATAATGTCTTCCAGATTCATCCATGTTGTCATGAATGGCAGGATTTTCTTCTTTTTAGGGCCAAACAATATTCCTCTGTGTTTATGTTTGTACAGGTATACATATACATTTTTATATGTGCATATATTAAATAGTAATGTATGTGACATTTTCTTTCTCTATTCATACACTGATGAACACTTGGGTTGCTTCCCTATCTAAGCTATTATGAGTAATCCTGCAGTAAACATGGGAGAACAGACACCTGTTTGAGATACTTATTTTGCTCCCTATGTATTTTAGATATTAATTCTTTACCATATATATGGTTTGCCAATATTTTCCTCTGTTCTGTAGGTTGCCTTTTCATTTTGTTGATGGTTTCCTTTGCTGTGCAGAAGCTTTTCAGTTTGATGTAGTCCCTCCTAGTATTTTTTCTTTTGTTGCCTGTGCTTTTGGTATCATATCCCAAAAATTTTTGCCATAACCAATGTCAAGAAGTTTTTTCCCTACATTTTCTTCTAAAAATGCAAACACAGAGATTATGATACTTAGCCCTGTTGCTTTGTTTAATGTCTGACAGCAAAGTTATTCTTGAGGGAGTGAAGTCTCTACATGCACACAAACATAGCTATGGAAAAAGTTCTGTGTCTTATGAAGACAGGAAGAGGTGTTTTCACAGAAGAATCAGTTTAATTGTTTTGTTAACTATTTTGGTTCAAAGTATAGAAGATAACTTAACATTAATAAACCTAAGCTAAAGGTGCATTATGTTCATATCAGTTTCTGATTTTGGTGAGACAGAGATCCATGGATTTGTGAAAAGAACATTTGATTGATGAAAATAAAACAAATGCAAATGAAACATGTACTTTCCTTTTTCCAAATGTACTCTTTTGTATACATTAAGTGTAGATGAACTTTTCCTCTCTTTGAAAATTGCAGAGATTTTGCTTATCTGGGGAAAAATTAAGTGGTTGTTTGTGACATATGGCATGTTCCAGAAAATGTCTCTTCCACAGTCAGCGCTGCTTCTGGCTGATAGAGCAGTTCTCACTGTTCCTCACGTGGACAATATTTTATCTCTCCTTTTCTGAAAGTTCTGTGATAATTCACAAATATATACACCTGACATTTGTTCACACGATTGCTCTTTGCTCTGTCTATTATTCAAGCAAAATTGCTGATGGAGAGATTCTTTTTCCAAATGATTGACTGACCCCTCCTTTGGTATTTTCTGTTTAAATATGTATGACCAAATACCTATGGAAAAAAATATGAGCTGTGGAATGACAGAGAACCAGTTTTAAACACCAGATCTTCCCCTTACTAGATGTCTGCCTTGCACCAAATTGTTTAATTTGTAACTATACATTTAAATAACACCTACTTCATAGGATTATGTTAATGATTTTATAATATAACATGTATGAAGACTATAAATAGTACTTGACACAAAGCAGTCACTCATAAAAGGCTAGCTATTAGCATTAACATTAGTATATTTCAGTTCAACCAGGGTACATCATTTTTCACATTCTAACATTTATGAACATGGGGTGAACGATGGTGTTTTATGGTTGCTGGTAAAGCTAGGAGTCATGACTTTAAAAAAGGGGGAGGGTTTTTGGGAACATCTATAAAGGACACATAGACCAAACCAAAGGGGGTTAGGAATAAGGGTGGGAAGTGGGAATAGCTGGGGTGGGGGGAAGCTATGGGGGAAAAGTGGAAACAACTGTACTTGAACAACAATAAAAAAATAAAAATTAAAAACATGGCATTGCCTGTGTGTGCAGCAATCTTGCTGGATGACGGTTGTCTAACTGTAATCCCCCATTCGAAAAATGCATATGTTACTACACATGCTATTAACCATGACTATTTTAGGGACCGTCGTACATCCTAGTTATTGTCTAAACCTTTCATTGAGTGTGTGTGTGTGTGTGTGTGTGTGTTAAGATAAAATACCAGTTTCAAAACTTGTGGAATTGGTGTCAATTGTTAGGAGAAAGTCCTAGAGACAGAAGTTGCACTTCTGGCAGGGCTGTATCACCAGCAGTATCACCAGTGCGGTCAGCGGCACAGAAGTCAAGGGCAAGGGCAGACAGGGACATCACAGTATGTGACCTGGAGCTCCTCTGTGTTTTGAAAACAGTGTATTCTGCATGTGTTTTCATTGTGAACTACACATAAGTATGACAAATAATAAAATTTGTTTAAATAAGCCTAAAAGATTTACTTAACATTTTGAATGAACTTAAAATAATCTTTTTATTTGATGTGTCCTAGTTTAACTCAGGATGAT